TTCAGCTCCGACGAAACCTCGGCGAACGGCCTGCAAAAACGTGCACGGCCGCGATCGGTATAAAGCAGATACGCTTGTCAGTGTCTCATCACAGTCCCCTTTTTTTTCCTCCTCCGCGATAACAGCTCCTATAAATCGGTCTAATTAAAACGTCCATTATTCAGGCAATAACGCGGCGAGGCTCGGCGCGGCGCGGCAGCGTGCCGCAAGTGGATGCGTTGGGGAATTATTCAAGCGCCCGGCGACCGCTAATGATCCCACGGCAATTTGGTCCGCGTAAAAATATTATTTTCTCTTTATTATTACGATATGCGAGCCGCATTATCACGTACCGGGCACGTTATCACGGGGCCGAGGCGGATCACGCGACGATCGCGCGTATCCGCGGACGCGCGCGACGCACGCGAGCACCGATCCTCGGCCCGAGGTTCGCGGCGTCGATAATTACGTGTGTAGTTACACGTGTGTTTCCGTGATCGCACATGGCCGCGACACGTGCGTGCGCGCCGTTCACGCATTAGACGCGGCAATAAATACCCGGGAAAGATAAGCGATAGTATCGCCGGCTGATATCGGCTCTGCATCTCTCCGTGCACTGGCCCGCGCGCGCGATGGAACCATAAGCGTAATCACAAGTAGTTCCCTGATATCCAGCGAAGGAACGGAACCTATCGCGACTCGGAATGCAGCTTCGATCGTGTGCCAACGGACCTGGACAAATGTTTTCGAAATAAGAAATAACTACAGTATAATTTCTCTCTGATTCGCGCTCGGAATCGCGCGTGGAAATGGATCACAGTAATGTCTCTCGTACCGACGCTCTGATTGTCCACGAAAATTGACAATTTGGGAAGAGCAGATACGATTATCCGAGCCTTGACAACGTATAACTATGAAAAGAAACCGCGAGGCTTGAACAATCGTATCTTCTCTTCCCAAATTGCCCAGTTTTGTAGTCAATCTGGGCGTCAATGAGAGAGACATTGCTGTACAGTAATGTCTCCCTTACTGACGCATAGGTTGTGTACAGAAATGGACGATTTCGGGAAGAGGAGATACGATTATCCGAGCCTTGACAACTTATAACTGTAAAAAGAAACCGGGAGGCTCGAACAATCGTATCTTCTCTTCCCAAATTGTCCAGTTTTGTGGACAATCTGGGCGTCAATGAGAGAGACATTGCTGTACAGTAATGTCTCCCTTACTGACGCATAGGTTGTGTACAGAAATGGACGATTTGGGAAAAGGTGATACGATTATTTAAACCTTGCGACTCGCTTTTATAGTTTTTGACAATCGATGACCATAAAAAACGAGCAACAAGGCTCGAACAATCGTATCTTTTCTTCCAATATTGTCCATTTTTGTGGTCAATCAGGGCGTCAATTAGAGAGACATTACTGTATTTGGGAAGAGGAGATTATTCGAGCATCGCGACAAGTTTTTATAGTTACCGATTCTCGACAACTATAAAAATGAGACGCAAGGCTCCAATAATCGTATCTTTTTATGCACTTTTATTAGCATGTTATTAATGTACTAATTATTATATACTATAATTGAAACAATTTCGTATGTTTTCTATAAGCCATCGAATCGGAATATAACCAATTTATTATTAACTCTTTGCACTCGAGTGATGAGGCACCACTAAAATTTGTTATATCACCTTTTAAGATAATTTTGATATTAACAAAGTTTAGATTTAAAAAATTGTTAAGAGTGTAATTGTTATGCGATTATTATAGTTAATTCAACCCCGAGGCACCACTAAAATTGTTACATCGCGTTCCAAGATAATTTATATATTATAAAAGCTTAGATATAAAAAATTATTAAAAGTCTAATTGTTGTATGAATCACAAGACTAAATTTTATATGCATAAAATGCATTTTGTCATATAAAGTAGAAATAGTATAAGTTAGAAAAATTATTTTATATTTTCAGTTCAAATAACTTCGAGTGCAAAATGGTTAATCATATCGCGCGTTAAATAATACAGTACATTACAATTTTGTTACGTTACAATTCATTATTTAAAATTGTCTATAAAATTATTTTATACAAAAGTTGTTATCGAAATTGGCATCTCCGATAAAATAATTTATTTCGTAATAAAAAGTAAATAGATAAAAATGCTACAAATTAGGCCCGCTGTTTGACGATCAATCGATTTCCGCCGTTTTACTAAAATTACGCGAAACTGGAGTCACCTTCTAGCTGCGGCGCTGCTTTCAACAGCAATTCGCGCGTGTTCCACGGCCAGAATTGAACAACGACTCGATCGTCGCGCGTTTCTCAGCGCAGCACGCAAATAAATCGCAGGAATCGTCCGAACGCCGCGTCGCGCCGCGGCGGCTTCACGCTTCCGCGAACAGTGATTTACGCCGGAAGAAATTCTGATAGCGACAGCGAAGGGTCCCACGTACGGTTTTCCATCGGCGGACAAGGAATTCCAATTTAGACATTCGCGGTTCCGTGTTCCCTTTCGCGCGGGACTCATGCGGGACACGTTAAAGGGAAAAATACCGGCCTGTTAATTTATGCGTGCGTGTCCAAGCGGATTTACATGCGATTAGACGTCGTATGTAATTTTACGCGATTAGGTTGCCGTCGTGCACCGGCTGACGATGATTGCTGTTTGCAATGGCTAATGAATTTTTTATTGGCAAACACACGCTTACGGTGGCAAATACAATATGTTTAATAGCCGTGACCGGAACGATTGTTTCAGAAAAACTGGTCGCCGGATGGATTTATTGAGCGATCGGTAGACGTAATTAAAACACCGTGTCGCACCAATTAGCGGGCATAAAATAGGTGCGTTAAGTGAACAAACGATTAGCCGGATCATCGTACAGCATCGTTCAAGCGCGGCGAACTCTGCGATTAGGCACGAAAGTTCGCATACGCGGGGTTGAAGTGGGTGTTTGAAAGGAATGTAGGAATGTGAACATAAAAATATAAGAGGACTAGAAATATATAGGAATATGTAGGAATGTAAATATAAGAATATAAAGGGAATACAAATATATAGGAATATAAATATAAAAATATAAAAGGAATACAAATATATAGGAATATAAATATAAAAATATGAAAGGAATACAGATATATAGGAATATAAATACAAAAATATGAAAGGAATACAAATATATAGGAATATAAATACAAAAATATGAAAGGAATACATATATATAGGAATGTAAATATAAAAATATAAAAGGAATACAAATATATAGGAATATAAATATTTAGAAATATAAAAGGAATACAAATATATAGGAATATACAGGAATATAAATATAAAAATATAAAAGGAANTATATATAGGAATATAAGTATAAAAATATGGAAGGAATACAAATATATAGGAATATAAATATAAAAATATAAAGGCAATATTCAAAAAGAATTTGGTACTTAAAAGAAACGAACTGAGGAACTTGCCGAATTCGATATCGCAACAACTATAATTACGTTATCAATTTTTATACATTCGCGTCGAATATGCTCGTTCATTCGTTGCTAAATAATTGCGGGTGACACAGCTATTTTCCAGAATCTATTTAGTACTAATTAACAATATTGAGACTGTGAAACTCGCAGCTTTCAAACTTGCACTTGAACTAAATTATTGACAAGGTATCGTTTTACAGGTTCCGTGAAATTATACAAATATGGCTAAATTAACACACCCTTGCTTAACCCTCAACAATCCTGACACTTCTTGATCCAGTTAAAACAACTCGATAATTTCATTCCAAGGGGGGAAAATTGCAATTATTTAATTGCGAATTAAACAGCGAAAAGATGGAAATGATGTTGCCATTGCAATCGAAAAAATCGAATTTGTTAATTTAAAACCCGCGACAGCGTCAATCGAAATCGTTTAGTCACAAATCGCCGCGAATCGTTTGAAAATCAGGAGCATCCAATTCTTCGCTCCGACGAGACCGCTTTATTTATACAGGACGTCCCAGGTTTTAATGTTCAAACTTTGTCAGTATATTCTATGGCACAAAGTAAGAAAAAAATGTTATGTAAACATAGGTCATATAGAGCTTTATTAAGAAGTTATAACAAAAATTCAGAATAGGAATAGTAATCGACTAAAATAAAAATAAAAAATAAAAAGAAATCTTCGATCGATGTCAATCATGTATTGTCAACAACGGTTATTAATACGTTTCGAAATGTATTAATAAACACAGCTTACATAAACACACGGCATGTGCTGATCTATTCAAGCCAATGCTCGCAGTAACAGCAAGTTGATTACTATTCCTATTCTGAATTTTTGTTATAACTTCTTAATAAAGCTCTATATAACCTATGTTTACACAACATTTTTTTCTTACTTTCTGCCATAGAATACACTAACAAAGTTTGAACATCAAAACCTGGGACACCCTGTATAAAGTTAATTATATAAATAAAATATTTGCACGTTATCTACGCATTCGCGCGTCTCTGCCCTATTCTTGCAACTCCTTCGAACCTATAAAATGCAACCCCGCCGACACATTAAGCTCCGTAACTACGCGGATTCCATTTGTCCGGCGTTCTCCATCCGATCGCCGTGACTCGGTCGTGACGGTCGCCGCAGTCTATTCAGAAGTATACGCGACTAAATATTAAAACCACGCGCGCGCGCGCGCGCGAGTGTCTTTCGATCTCGGGAATTTCAACGGCGAAGCCAGCGAGCAGCCTCGGCGCCGAGCGAGCGAAGGCGACGAATTAAAAAAAGAAAAAAAAACAAAAAGAAAGAGCGCGAGCACAGCTCAGGCGCGAGCAAACGAAAGCGAACAAACAAACAAAACAAAACAAAAAAAGAAAAGAAAAGAAAAAAAGAAAAGAAAAGAAAAGAAAAGAAAAGAACACAAAGAGCAGAAAAATGACAAGAAAAGAAAGGAGCCGGATTTGACAGGGAACGAACCTCGGCACGGGAGAGCGCGAGTAAATAAAACGCGGGTCGGTACAAATGTTTCTCTTGCAGCAGGGTTGCGGGGTGCAGTTCAGACATGGGAAGTGAGCATTACTGCCTGAGGTGGAACAATCATCAGAGCAACCTGCTGGGTGTGTTCAGTCAACTGCTGGAGTCGGAGTCGCTGGTGGACGTGACACTGGCGTGCACGGAGGGACCATCGATACGTGCCCACAAGGTAGTCCTCTCCGCGTGCTCCAGCTACTTCCAGGCTCTGTTCCTGGACCACCCGAACCGCCACCCCATAGTCATCCTAAAGGACGTACGTTTCGCCGAGCTACGTACCCTCGTCGACTTCATGTACAAGGGCGAGGTAAACGTCGAGTACTGCCAGCTATCGGCTCTCCTTAAGACAGCGGAGAGCCTTAAGGTGAAGGGTCTAGCGGATATGACGAACATCAACGCGGCGGTAGCGTCGAGGGACGAGCAGCAACAGCCACAGCAACAGCAGCAGCAGCAACAGCAGCAACAGCAGCACCAGCAGCAGCAACAGCAGCAGCAGCAGCAACAGCAGTCGCAACAGCAGCACACGAGCGCGTCCGAGGGTCTGCAGCGGGAGACGTCGCGGGAGCATCACCGGGAACGCGAGAGCATAAAGGAGGCGAGCAACAAGGATAGGGACCGGGAAGGGAGCGCGTCCGTGGTCGGTGCGGCGGTGCTGTCGGGTGTCGGCAAAGAATGCGACCAAACGCAACAGAACGTCGCGCAACCGGCCACCAGCGAGCCTGCCGACGCGATAGACATGACCGAGTGTCCGCCGTCGCCAGCTGGACCTGGTAGCCCCTGCTCCGGGCCCCTGGCCCTCGATCGACCCAGGAGGGACTCCGAAGACGCTGTCAGCCTCGAGGAGACGAGGGGTTCCCTCAGCCCGATCTCGGTGCACAGCGGACCGTCGGACATGAGTCTAAGTAACAACACAAGCGGCACGCCCGGCGTGCTGCCGTTGAACTTACCACAAAGCCGGCTTCCGTCACCGCACAGTACAGAACCTCTCGCGGGTCCGTCGGGGTTACCTCCAGTTCAACAAGTTCCACTCGTGAGTATCCATTTATTTTATCACACTTTACCGCGATCCATAGGACGCGCCGGATCGCTTCTCTCGCGCGTCCAGCGCGTCCTCGTCGACTCGAATCGTTGCACGTTGCCCGTGGATCGTTTACGTACCGGGTGGTTCTAATCGGTTTTCGGACCGGTTTGGCGAACGAGACTTTTTAACGCGACTCGCGATTCGTCGTTTCGAAGGTACTTCTTTCGAGTTTGAGAATCGGTGGGACAAGTTTTGCAAACGTTTGGATTGGTTGAAATGATAAGACAAGGGAACGTTGAGGAATTATGGTATCCGAGGCTGTAACTACAGCGAGGTTATACGCAATTGCCACGTTGAATGCCGAAAATTGATCGCAAAAATTCACAGAAAGTTGAAATAATTGAACCTAATGATACTTAAACGAGAATGTTGATATTTGTTGTAGCGGATAGTATTTTAACTAATTTGCGTGGTAACCGATTTCTATGATAAACTTTTTATCGTTCGAACCAATCGCCAATTTTGCAAAATTTTTGTATACTCATTGTCTAGTAAATTATTTAGTCTAACGTCTCGAAACGTGTTCGAATCATTTGGTCAAATCTGAAAATAATTACAACACTTTCTCCCAATAGTTCGGTATACCGGTCTGGTACAAAAATATACAGGATGTCCCAAAAGTCACTCGAAATCTGGCCATGAGGGGTTCCCGAGGTTATTTGGAGTAACTTTTTCCTTTGCAAAAATACAATCCGCGGCTTCGTTTACGAGTTATTAACGAAGAACAGTGTGGCCAATCGGAGAGCGAGCGCGGCCAGCGCTCCGCCCTTTCGGCCAATGTCTCGCCGCGCTGGCTGTCCGACGCAGCGGCAGTGGTCACGAGGGCGGGGCCTCTGCCATGCGCGATCTCCCATTGGCCCGTGTTTTTCGTTAATAACTCGTAAACGAAGCCGCGGATTGCATTTTCGCTAAGGAAAAAATTACTTGAAATGATCTCGGGAATCTTGGTGTTAACAATTAGGTGTTAACGTAATTATGAGACACCCTGCAAATCGTCTATAATCGCAAGAGCGTGTGCACAAAGCGAACTAAATTTTCTCGACGACTTAAGCTCCAAATGACAAAGAAATATTTTGCTTTTTTTCATATTTTTTCCGCGGAAGATCACCTGGTATGTGTTTATACGTGTCTTTCAGGGACACCCTGTGCATAGATCGACGGTACGTTTGGAAAGTTAACACACTTTTCTTCAACAGCTAGCTTCAACACTAGTCTTCAACAGTTCAGTTTCCGTCATTAATAATTCCGGCTTAGTGAGGCCGTAGCATGCTTTTAACTAACTTTTCGGCATACAAGACAAGCAGGGATTGGAAAGGTTCTAGAAATAACTGTTTCAAACTGTTATTATATATCTGTTCCGGCTGAAACAGTTATGAATAGACTGCGGATTATACGCTGTTCTAACGAGAATCACTGTGCAAAATACAAAACGGTGAGAACACTGGATAAATTAACGAATACGATTTTATGCTGTCCTCAACTCATTACAATTATTAACACGTTCCGTGCCACGTGTACCGCCGATGGTGCATGCTTATATGTTTATTTAATACGCTAGAAAAATAGCTTATAACAAATTTAGAATCGAAGAATTAATTTACACTAGAATTTAGAACCGAAGAATTAATTTCCACTAGAATTTAGAACGAACCGAAGAATTAATTTCCACTAGAATTTAGAACCGAACAATTAATTTCCACTAGAATTTAGAACCGAAGAATTAATTTTCACTACAATTTAAAACCGAAGAATTAATTTCCGCTATAATTTAGAACCGAAGAATTAATTTCCTCTGCAAGAATGGGTCATAATAAGATCATCTCAGTGTCGCATATACGATAATTATTAATTACATATAATATATCAGTTTAGTAAAACAGTTTTATTCAGTAAAATATTAAATGGCGAAGAGTCGAGTAAAAGGAGCTCGGCACGGAACGTGTTAAAAGAAAATGTACGATTTTGTTGCATCTCTGTTTCTTTTAATTGACACAGACAATTTTTACTTTACACAAGAATACGCAGTCTAATTATGAAAGGGGATTTCTTCGCTTCTCCGTAACTGCTTCAAGAGCCGAAACAGATGTCATAACTCTTTTCAACTTCCAAAGACAAGTAACGACATCTGTATAAAATCTTTTTACGTTGTAACGTACAATTTTCCTCGATCATTATAATTTGTAATAAATTGAACGGTTTACATTGTTTAGCTATTTAAACGTACCTTCGATTTATATTATGGTTTCGCAGAATGGCGTCCATACTATTGCATTACAAACTGTGCAGAAATCATTCGTGACTCGATCATTTACATTTTCTTAGTTGGAGCTATTGCAATCCGGCATCTGAATACAGTAAATTCTCTCCAATTGTCCCTCAAAATGTCCCATTTTTGTCAACGAAACTGGACAATTGTCAACGACTATAAAAACGAGGCTCGAATAATCGTATCTCATCTCCTCAAATTGTTCATTTTTGTGTACGAACTGAGAGACAATTGGAGAGCATTTATTGAACATATTTCGTTGGATCTGTAATTATGTACAATAAATTCTCTCTAATTGACGCTCGCTATTCACAATCGGTAAACCATAAAAATGAGCGCGAGGCTCGAACAATCGTATTTACTCTTCTAAAATTGTCCATTTTTGTGTACAAACTGAGAGACAATTGGAGAGCATTTATTGAACATATTTCGTTGGATCTGTAATTATGTACAATAAATTCTCCCTAATTGACGCTCGTCGTTGACAATCGGTAAACCATAAAAATGAGCGCGAGGCTCGAACAATCGTATCTACTCTTCCCAAATTGTCCATTTTTGCGTGCAATCTGAGAGAATTTACTGAAAATTTGCTCAATTAGAGAGAATTTACTGAAAATTTACTCAATTAGAGAGAATTTACTGTTCCCTGCAATAATTCCGTTCCAACGATCGAAAGTATAGTAACAAGTATAATAAGTCTGAACAGTCTATAACGCAAGCCTTAATATCAAAATCACATTATTTAGTTCTGAATATCGCTCGCAAGCGTAGAGTCACAAGAGAGTTTTATTATACGTACCCCGTATGTGCCAGGCCCGTGTTTCATCGCGCGTCAGCTTTTATAACGTTTTTTCGCTTTGTGAGGGAAAGTGCAGCGAAAGAGTTTTAGCCGGCGTGGCTGCGATACCGTGTGCGCGCGCGTAGTTGCATTAATAAGCACCGTTTCATATATACAACGGTAACAATTCTTCCGTTTGATCTTTTTTTCACAATGATTATGGCTAGACGCTCGGAACTCTCGATGCTCGTTCTGTCCGCTTTTCTCTCGGAATTCTCGCTCTAAACTCCACTTTCAGAGTCACCCACACAAGAGCGGCGAGCACGCTCGCGGTGCCACCAGTTGCTCGTTCTAGGGCACACACGGTTTTCCTAAATAGTAATTTATAAATACATTTTCGTCCAAACAGTTTTGTTCCTTCTGTTCCCCCCGTTTTTAACGCGTTCGTCCGCGGAACTTGTTGCGGCTAAATTGCGCGCGTGTGTGCGCTTTAAATTATCATTGTCGTTCGGTTCTTCGTTTAGACGGTTCTTCAGCTCGTACGATCGCGGAGAAAAGCCGAAGTGTAATTTTTTTTAATTAATATCAGATTTTCCAACCTTATTTCAAGGTTGCGGGACGAAACGCACTCGAAGCGACAACGCGGTAAACGGTAAATAATTATTGCGATAAATAATATTATTATTACGATAAATAATATTATTATTTCGATAAATAATATTACTATTACGATAAATAATATTATTATTACGATAAATAATATTATTATTGCGATAAATAATATTATTACGATAAATAATATTATTATTACGATAAATAATATTATTATTACGATAAATAATACTATTATTTCGATAAATAATATTATTATTACGATAAATAATATTACTATTACGATAAATAACATTATTATTACGATAAATAATATTATTATTACGATAAATAATAATTTTCCGAATCCGATGTGAACAGCAAATGGCTGATATTCGCGATTCGAACTTTTCTTAACACGTTTTTTTATTGTCGGAATAAAAGTAGAGGAACGCCATTCTTTCTGTTTATGGGAAGCGGCTTTGGAAGTTTCACGGTAAAAATAAATTTGAATTGTTTAAGACGGAAGTCCGTGTATTGTGAACATTGTTCGCGGCAGTTTTATTGTGAAAATAGAATTGTAAATAAAATAGAACAAACTTTCGCGTACGGACGTGTTTGCCGTTGGTAAAGAACGCTGAGTTAATTGATCGATGGGGTTTGAACGTGGACGATTTAATGAACGGTATGCAAAGCAATTACCTTTTTCTTTTTTCTCCAAACATAACATTGTTCGTTAAATTTACGACGTGTAAAAATTACCCTTTCGCGCTGGATGGACGCCTGTTCGACGTTAGAACCACGGGGATTAATTTCATTAACCTGGAAATGTTTTGATTGATCCGTATAATCTCTTGATTTTACATGTTACACGTGTTTCAACTGTTATGGTTAGACTACGGATGTTCGTGCGAAATTAACAAATTTCTCGATCAATTGCAACGAACGTGAGTTAACTGTAAGCGTAATTCTTTCGCGTTGATATTTCTAGTAAATTGAAACGAACGCAGAATTGTTCTGGAATTTTTCGAAAGCTTTTATAATTTGTTCATCTTTATGTTAAATGCATACACGTACACGGTCTCTACGGTTGTTTTTACGTTTTTACGAATATTTTGCTTTATTTTCACTGTTTATCGGCGTTTCATTGAAATCTCGGAAGTAATATTTAATAATAAAATGGTATTAATGCAATTGCTAATAAAAATGTCTCTATTATAGTTTCTTACGTACGAAATGTTAAATTTCATAACGCTAAAATTGAAAATTGATTGATTAATAATAGATTTACGGAGCACAAAAAACAGCCGTTTTGTATTAGTTAATAAATTGTAACATTCATAATCGTTGTAACATTTGCCGTGGGTGACATATAAATTGAATAAATAACTCGTAAATGTATCTTTATGACGAATCTCTATATGAATAATCGTAAATTAGAAAATTAGTGGCCGCCATTTTGACGGGTTCCGTAAATCTAGTGTTAAAGAAATACTATTATATTTGCAGATGTACAATAACTTTTGAGTAACAATAACTTTTAAGAGTGATTTCAGTTCAAAACACGTCTTTCCTAGATTTCTTAAAGAATTAGAAAATTAATGGCCGCCATTTTGACGGGTTCCGTAAATCTAGTGTTAAAGAAATACTATTATATTTGCAGATGTACAATAACTTTTAAGTAACAATAACTTTTAAGAGTGATTTCAGTTCAAAACACGTCTTTCCTAGATTTCTTAAAGAATTAGAAAATTAATGGCCGCCATTTTGACGGGTTCCGTAAATCTAGTGTTAAAGAAATACTATTATATTTGCAGATGTACAATAACTTTTAAGTAACAATAACTTTTAAGAGTGATTTCAGTTCAAAACACGTCTTTCCTAGATTTCTTAAAGAATTAGAAAATTAATGGCCGCCATTTTGACGGGTTCCGTAAATCTAGTGTTAAAGAAATACTATTATATTTGCAGATGTACAATAACTTTTAAGTAACAATAACTTTTAAGAGTGATTTCAGTTCAAAACACGTCTTTCCTAGATTTCTTAAAGAATTAGAAAATTAATGGCCGCCATTTTGACGGGTTCCGTAAATCTAGTGTTAAAGAAATACTATTATATTTGCAGATGTACAATAACTTTTAAGTAACAATAACTTTTAAGAGTGATTTCAGTTCAAAACACGTCTTTCCTAGATTTCTTAAAGAATTAGAAAATTAATGGCCGCCATTTTGACGGGTTCCGTAAATCTAGTGTTAAAGAAATACTATTATATTTGCAGATGTACAATAACTTTTAAGTAACAATAACTTTTAAGAGTGATTTCAGTTCAAAACACGTCTTTCCTAGATTTCTTAAAGAATTAGAAAATTAATGGCCGCCATTTTGACGGGTTCCGTAAATCTAGTGTTAAAGAAATACTATTATATTTGCAGATGTACAATAACTTTTAAGTAACAATAACTTTTAAGAGTGATTTCAGTTCAAAACACGTCTTTCCTAGATCTCTTAAAGAATTAGAAAATTAATGGCCGCCATTTTGACGGGTTCCGTAAATCTAGTGTTAAAGAAATACTATTATATTTGCAGATGTACAATAACTTTTAAGTAACAATAACTTTTAAGAGTGATTTCAGTTCAAAACACGTCTTTCCTAGATTTCTTAAAGAATTAGAAAATTAATGGCCGCCATTTTGACGGGTTCCGTAAATCTAGTGTTAAAGAAATACTATTATATTTGCAGATGTACAATAACGTTTAAGTAACAATAACTTTTAAGAGTGATTTCAGTTCAAAACAAGTCTTTCCTAGATTTCTTAAAGAATTAGAAAATTAATGGCCGCCATTTTGACGGGTTCCGTAAATCTAGTGTTAAAGAAATACTATTATATTTGCAGATGTACAATAACTTTTAAGTAACAATAACTTTTAAGAGTGATTTCAGTTCAAAACACGTCTTTCCTAGATCTCTTAAAGAACTTCTTCGCCAAGTACAACAAATTCTCCCTAATTGACGCTCAGATCGTGCACAAAAGCGAACATTTTGGACGAATAAGACACGATTATTCGAGCCATGCACCCAATTTTTATAATCGTTGACAATCTAAAACTATAAAAACGAGCCGCGAGGCTCGAACAATCGCGTCCCCTCCTCCCAAATTGTCCATTTTCGTGTCCAAACCGAGGGACAATTGGAGAGAGCATTTCCTATACACATTTAGTTGGATCTATGATTACGTAAATAATAATGTACGAGCGTACGTACCTATTACGGAACACCGTTTTCGCGCCACGTCCCCGTGTTTCACGAATCGCAAGAATGAAAAAATTGCCGTACGCAATATGGAACGCCGTGCCCTAAAAAAAGAACGCATTTTCTTCTACAGCCGATCGTCACGCAACAGCGTTCACGCGAGTGAATTTACTAAAAAGCAATACTTTCGATCGTTCTATTTTAATTCAACTGTTATTTCGAATTATTTTTAATTTCGATCAAATATTTTCCACCGTTTCGCGCATCTCGCGTTTCATAATTGGTACAATTCGCCTGCGATCCGTCGCGAAAGGTGTTCCCCGATTCCCGGGAATCGAACGATTTCGGCGACGCCGACTCGGGAAGAAACGCGCGGCCGCGCCGGTCTACGCGCCGGCGACGGTTATCCAATTATTACTTTGACGTGAGCCCGATGTTCGTTTCCAGTCGTTAAAAAAAGAGATGGACTGGGAAAAGTCGACCGAGGAGCGGAGTGCGAGCAGCGAAATATCCACAGACTACAGACTCCCACCAGATCCGGTGAGTTTTTCTCCTCTCTTTTCTCCGCTCTACCTATCGATATCTATATATATGTATATGTACATGTACATGTGCATCCACACGACACACGCACGCGTGTAAGTACGATATATATCCGCCATATACGTGTGCACATATTATACGTATACATATACATATAAATATACGTATACATATACGTATACATATACATATGCATATACATATACATATACGTATACATATACATATACATATGCATATATATTTACATATATATATGTATATTCCAATTTATTGACTTTTTATTCTCGTACTTTCTCTTTACTCTGCATTTGTATATCGATTACGGTTAATGTCGGTGTACCACCCCCCGCACCCTCCCCCAATCCCCCGGAAACGCACTCGACTCATTCGCAATCGCGTAACAGAGAGGCCGCCGCGGCCGTTACATAGAGATCTTCGGGCGCTCGCGGATTGCGGATGAGCCGACCGAACGGGGGACAACCGTTGCTAAAAAAAAAAAAAGAAAAAATCGAGCCGGCGAAACTCGTTCGATTCTCGATTCTCGGTTCTCGATTCTCGATTCACGCCCTCCGGCCACGTTGTACGTACGTGGCCTGCAACCTACACGTAGCGCGGATACGTCGTTGCAAAGGTTACGAGGTGCGGCGTGTCGTCCGTTGTGGACGGGGTTTCTGCCCGACGTGTCTGTCCGCGTGTGCCCCCCACCCCCCCGCCCCCTCCATCCCCCCGACGACAGATCGTCGGGGAACGGACGCACACGTCGTCCCGACGGAAACATCGAACACGATCCATTTTATCTATCTATCTATTTATATATCTGTCTATTTTGCTTGTCTGTCTATCCTTGCGCTTACAGATAGACAGGCATACGTTCTATTATATTTCGAAGTTCACTTTGCATGTGGGTCTATTTGCATGCGTGCCCAAAGTGCTTTGCTGTTTGCTGCTCTCCCCGCTAATTTTGGAAAGTGATCGTGTCATTAACAGAACAACAACAACAATAAAAAAAAAACAGTCGCCAGTCGTGTCCTTAACCGAGAGAGTTGAAAAGTGTGATCGCAGGTTCGACGACAGAGAGAGATATATGTGTATATATATATATATATATATATATATATATATATATATATATATATATATATTTTATATGCGTACACGTATATATACGAGCCGTCGTCGTCCACCGGTATTCGGACGCTTGCCAATAGAAAAAAAGAAGGGAGAAGGTTCCGGGGTCAAGATTTCGGTCTAATCGCGGAAACGATCGCGGTGCTTTCCGAGAGCACTGCTTTCTGAGTCTGAACGGCCTGAAACGCCGCGTCCGTTCGGATGTTCTAACGCAAAATCGGCGGAGAACGCAACGGCGGTTTCCAGCGAACGAGCAGAACCGCGTTGACTTTTGGGCTTCGCGAGCTTTCTCCGTCGGTCGGCCACGGAACGGCAGGGGTGTCGGAGGAACGGTCAGCAAGCGTCCGAATACTCGAGGAAGCCGGCGCGTACAGAGTCTACCTTTGTATTCGACGTATATGTGTACACGTACCGCACGCGGCCCTTCGAAGCAGTAGGACGAGATCGCTTTGGAGAAAACGGTTCGACGCAGCGGAAAACTTGGCTGCTCCGTTGTCGATAGATTAATGCACCCTCGACGGAACTTGCGAGCCAAAGTCTCCTCGAAGACGAGCGATCCGTTGCGACGCGCGCGACGTAGACGATTTGCCATGGATCATTGCCGCGAATATTCTCCGGTGAGTCTCGCGGGTCTCAGACGACGACGACGTACGCGCGCGCGCGCGCCGCTGGGAGACGAAACAATGACAGATCTCGCATTTATATGTACACACATGACAATCCGTAAATTCCAGTTCGCAGTTCGCCGATCTAGGCTTCTGCGAGCCGTGAATGGATCGGGACGCGCTGCGCAGAAGATCAATCGTGCATGTCGTCTACTTTAACGAACGTATTATCTTCTTTTCCGAACTAATTCACTTCTCCACTGTACCGTGCATACGTCCTCTCTCTATCTCTCTCTCTTTCTCTTTCTTTCTTTCTTTATCTCTCTCTCGCTCTATTTCTCGCTCTGTTTCTCTTTCTTCTTCAACCTCAATTTCCTGAATTTCGCGCCTCGCTCCGAGTCCTTTCTGTGCAATTTTCTGGATCAAAATCTCTATCCTTTTCTCTCTCTCTCTCTCTCTTTCTCTCTCTTTCTATTTATATTCCTCTCTCTGTTTCTGTCACTTCTTATTCTCTATTTCTTTTGATTTCTCTCCCTTCCTATTGTTTCTCTTTCTCGATTCCTCGCCCTTCTTATTTTTTCTTTCTATCGATTTCTTTTCCCTCTTATTCTTTCTCTCTCTCTCTCTCTCTCTCTCTCTCTCTATTCCTCTATTTCACTCCCTTCCTATTCTCTCTTTCTCTCGATTTCTCTTCCTTCTTATTTTTTCTCTCTCTATATTTCTCTTCCTTCTTATTCTTTTCCTTTCTCTATTTATCACCCTTCTTATTCTCTTTTTCTTTCCATTTCTGTTCCTTCTTATTCTTTTTCTCTTTTTCTCTATTTCTCTACCTTCTTATCCTTTCTCTATATATATATATATCTCCCTTCTTATTCCCTCTTTCCCTCGATTTCTCTTCCCTTTTATTCTTTTTCTCTCTTTATTTCTCTCCCTTCTTATTCTTTCTCTCTTTCTATTTCTCTCCCTTCTTATTCTTCCTTTCTCTCTCTCTCTCTCTCTCTCTCTCTCTCTCTCTCTCTCTATTTCTCCCTCTTTTTATTTTCTCTTTTTCTCTATTTTTCTCCCTTCTTATTCTCTCCCTCCGTATTCCCTCTTTCCCTCGATTTCTCTTCCCTTTTATACTTTTTCTCTCTTTATTTCTCTCCCTTCTTATTCTCTCTCTCTCTCTCTTTTTCTAATTCTCTCTCTCCCTATTTCTCCGTCTCCTTGTTCCCGCTCTTACTCCGATCCCCGATTCTGTCCACCCGATCCTCTCGACACGGCTTTCCCCCTACTCTTCTCCCCCGTTACTCGACTCTCTCCCAAACGCGAAACAACAAAGCGTTCCGCGAATTCGCCCGAATGCTCCTCATTCAGAAACAGCGAAATCCTGTGTCCCGTTTTCTGATCGTATCCCGGTGCTTCGAAGGGTGCCGCGACGAAACCGCCCTGACGGCGCACGATCCTCGGACCACGCTCTCGCACGTCGGCTCTATCGATGATCTTTTTCTCACCCCGTGCCCATCGTCCTTCCTCCCCCCTCTAACCCTTAACCTTCACCCTGCCCCACCTGGCCACTCGAAAGATCGACGGAAAGAACCGGCGAGTAACGACAAATCCTGTTCATATATCCCATCCTGCCAGCCTGTCTTGCTAGCTCACTGTCAAGAAGTTGACCTTCGTTTTTGGCCATGGTTGTTTTTTACTACATTTTTATATATATATATATATAAATACGTAAATACATGTATGTATATGTGGATATGTGTGCGGTACGGGTCGCGCCACGTGACGTTCGAATCGAAACGATCCAGAACATGCTTTAGGAACATGCTTTCCGTATCGCCGAGTGAAAATCATTATAGTTTTGTCGTTCGTTACTACGTTGCCTAGAATTACTAAGTCATCAATTAACAGCATCTCTGATCTGTCAACCTTTGACGTATTTTATTCTTTTTCTTTTTTTCTTTTTGAAAAGTAACTTACAGCGAGCAGAGTAATTTATACACGGAAAACAGCTGTTGATAAAGATTTCGGGGTAATTTTGCAGAAAATCGTTGCATTTCTCTCGGTGAGAGGAGAACCATTTTCTTTTTTTTATCGAACGTCACCGGTGCAAGGTACAGTTTCGATTCTAACGTCGGACGTCTCGTCCGATACGCACACACACACACAAACAGACACGCGCGCGCGAGTGCGCGTGTGTACAATACATACGTACGATATGCATACATGTAACAATGGTAATATACATCACATATATGTATGTACGTAAAGATAT